TTATGACAAGTAAGAGAACTATGGTTTCTCATCTGTATGGATCCTTTTATGAGAAGGGAACTGCTGTTAGTGAAGTTTTTTCCACATTCTAGGCATTTATAGGGTTTTATTCCAGTATGAATCCCTTTATGGTGGGTCAGGTGACTCCTGTTCCAAGTTTTTTCCACACTCTATAGTAGGAAATGGGCAGCAAGCCTGGAGTTTTCCCCTCCCAGCCAAGTTTGGGGGGGCGGTCTTCGTTCCCTCATCGCCTGGCACAAGCATGCAAAGGGAGCCTGGACTCTTCCCCCCCCCCCGCACCATCGTGCCTGTCCCCCTCATCCCGGCTCCCCACGAGGTGGCTCTGCACATGCCCGACACCCTCCCCGCCAGGCGCCCCTGCAGAGGACCGGGTGGAGCGCGCATGCGGAGTCTCTAACAGATGCCACCTGTTCGGCGACCTCCGTTGGGAAGCACACATGCACAGCCGCCCTGCATTGAAGAGCAGAGCTGCCTCTCCCTCCTCGGCCACCGGTAGGAGGAAACCCTCGGGGAGGGGAGGGAAGAGAGTCCACCAGGTCACGTGAGCCTGGTGAGCCAATGGCGGGAGAGAAACGCCCATCTGGTTTTGAGCGGGAAAAGAGAATTGCCGGGTCTCCTCAGCCGCTTCGCTGCTCGGCGTGACTTTCTCGTCTTTACCCTGAGGGTTTTTTTTGGGGGGGGGGGTGTCTTTATTTTTTTTAATGCTTCCTCATCGCACTTTGAGATACCGTAACATATCTGAAAAGTTTAATGTAGGTAGTCCTCTACTTCCATTCATTTTTAGCGACCATTCAAAGTTACAACTGAGAAATGAAGAAGCTTCCTGGATGAAAATAGAATAGAATAGAAAATATGGAATAGAACAGAACAAAACCTTCATTGTTACTTTAAATGTACACTAATCAGCATACATTAAAATGAAATTTCATTGCATTCAGCTCAAAAAATACCATTATGCATACACACACACATACGACACAGAAACATCACAATCTAGTTCAAATGTATACATATACATGGAACATCTTCAAGGAAAAACAAAGTCCAGTCGCCTTTTGAAAAAAATACCTTTGGGAACAACCATGAGCTGGATGACTGAGAATCTCCATGGATGTGAGTTATGTTGGATTCACCTTGGTAGCATCCCCACGGTCACATCACCAAAATTTGGGCACTTGGCAACCAGCATTATTTAGGATAGTTGCAGCATCCTGAGGTCATGTGATCATTTGCAACATTCTCAGACAGCTTCCAACAAAGTCAAGGGGGGAGGGGGAGAGATGGGTTCACTTCAGAGAACTGCAAAAACTCAAAAAGGCCAGCAAGGATGCACGTGACCCAAAACAAGGAGAGGTCAATGCAATTGACATCAATATCACAGTTCAATCATCAGCTCTTGATTATTCTGTCATTAGTGAGACTAAGCTACGTAGTTCACTTAAGAAGATCCTAATTTTCAGAAGATAATTCACATGATGTGTTTTCTCTCCCTTTGTTGCTTCATTTATAGGCAGATCTGCTTTCCTGGTGATGGAGAAGACTCTTTGAGAGTCCCTTGCAAGGAGATCAAATCAGTCAATCCTGAAGGAAATCAACCCTGACTATTCTTCAGAAGGAAAACTGTTGAAGCTCAAATACTTTGACCACGTAATAAGACAGGACTCCTTGGAAAAGACCCTGATGTTGGGAAAGATGAAGGCAAAAGCAGAAGGGGATGGCAGAGGATGAGATGGTTAAATAGTATCATTGATGCAGTAGGCATGAATTTTGGCAAACTCCAGGAGACAGGGGAGCCTGGCATGCTATAGGGTTGTGAAGTGTCAGACATAATTTACTGACTGAATAACTGCTTTGCTAATGCTTTTCTAATATTCCATAGATTTCTGTGCATCATCATCATCTGCACAGTGTGAATCCTTTGATACTGAGTCGGATCTGAAATCATTCCACCTCTTTCTAGCATCTTCTAAATCTATTCCACTCCTTCCCCCTCACTAAAATTTCTCCCACATATTCATCTGGCTTCTTCCTTTAGTTTTCTTCAATGTATATGTAGTAGGGGCATCATTTACACTGATCAAAAACTGTTTCCAATAATTTATTGCATTAACCCTTCAAAATGAGAAATAGTTAATAACCGGACATACCAAAATGTTTTTTTAAAGCTGTATTAAGATAACAAGTGCAGTCACAATCATGCCAGTAAGAGGAGTTTTCTCCTATTTGCCATGCTGTGGTCCCCTAAAATTTCAATAGGATTGACCTATCTGCTTAAACTAATACCGCAACACTGTAAGTACCACTGAAAAAATTGAGAAATGCAGTGGTTTTGGAATCTAACAAAAAAAAATCCATAACAATTCCCTTGAATGGATTAGAAAATATGGTTCTGGTTATGTAGGAAATGAAGACATAAAGAGAAATAACTTGATCAAACTCTTTTTTTAAAAATTGCTCATGTGATACACTGGATCAATAAAACCATTTTCAAAGTAAAAAGGCATCAGCAATCCTCAAGAGACAATCATTAACTCACTGGCTACACTTCTTTCAGCAGGATTAATGCAATTTTGCACCCAGAGATCTACTAAGCTAAACAAGCATGTACATATAAACAATCAGATGATTTTTTCCCTTCTAAACAACAGTTATGCACATCGGATTATATGAATTTAAATACTTCAGTAATGTTCAAGTCCCGATATTTATAACACAAGTAGAACTAAAAATACAAACATACATTTTTCTCTGCTTTGCTTGCATATGCCAGCTCTCTACAAAGCCTAGAACCTGATCCGACTTGCTTCAGATATTACTTCAGCCAAAATAAACCCGCTTGACCAGGTAGAGATTTTGAGAGATTTTGCATAATGACTGGGACAGTAGAATAACAAATTCTCATGAGCTAGACTAAACAGATTAAGTCAGAGGTCCCCAACCCCTGCCAGGCTGCTTGAGTGAAACTTCATTTGTGCATGTGCGGGATCTAAATAGCACGTGAAACCATGCCTGCCATCCATGGAAAATCATCCCCAAAGATTAGGGACTGCTGGACTTTTGGCATTAAGAAGTCTATCCTGGGAGCTTTTTCCATAATCTATACATTATTCAGTTTCTCCTTGGACAATCCTCTGAAAGGAAAACTACATCTTTTCACATGATCCTTGTACTTACTTGACTCTTAAATGTGGATCCTTTTATGGGAAATAAGACAGGTCAGCAGGCTGACTCTCCTTGCATTCCATGTATTTATTCTATCTTTCGTATGCAAACCTTTTTTTAGAAAATAAGAGAGCTCCTTGTACTGAAGTTCTTAAGACTCCTGCTCTTTAATTCTTCTCCCAGACACATATTTCTAGGTTTCTCCCATGCGGACATTACCATGGAAATTAAGGAATCTGTTCTTGCTTATCCTCTTGCCATCCTCCTTGCATTTATGCCGTGGTGGTGCAGTGGCTAGAATGCAGTACTGCAGACTAATTCACTGCTCACTTGATTCTGAACAGCTCAAGATTGGCTCAGCCTTCCATTCGAAGTCGATAAAATGAGGACCCAGATTGCTGGGGGCAACATGCTGACTCTGTAAACTGCTTAGAGGGCTGTAAAGCACTATGAAGCAGTATATAAGTCTATGTGCTCTTGCTATTTATAGATTCCTCTCCCAAGTGGACACTTCCTTCTCAAACTTGTCCCACATTCTATGTGTTCTAATGTTTTCCTCACATATACCTCCAATAGCATATTTACAGAAAATAAAATTTCTATTCCACTTGAAAGAGCCAGTTTGGTGGAGTGGTTAAGGCACAAGCTAGTAACCAGGATACTCACCTTAGGCATGAATCCATTTGGGTGACTTTGAGCCTGTCACATTCTCTCAGCCCTACAATGGCGGCAATGGCAAACACTTTGGAAAAGTCTTGGCCAAAAATCTGCAGGGACTAGTAGTACCAGGAGTAAAAAAAAACAAAACTACTTCAAGGTCGTAAAGAAATGCACTTGAAGCCCTTCCCACACTATATGCTTACATTGAACTTCCCTCATATGAAGCCTTTTAATACATATCAGTTGGCAATTCTTGAGTGAAGCTCTGCCTTTACTGTATATATTTGATATTACAGTGGATAATTAAGGTTATCTCAGTCCCTAAAGTTTTCTCCATGTGGATCCTTTTATGGGAAGCTCATGATCCACCTGAGGTCCTTTCCACACACCATCCAGGCATTTTTTTTCTTATGAATCCTTTTATGAGAAGTACAGGTAGACCACAATTTATGATCGTAATGAAGGCTGCCATTATAGTTGTAAATTGCAATGGTCGTTTATTAAGGCACCACATGTTCATCTTGCATAATGCAACCAATCTTCTCTACATTGTGATCATTAAGTGGAGCATAGGGTGTCTCAAGAGGTGGTTGTCCTGGGAGAACTAGAACATACCTAGGCTCATGCTGCAGAACCTCCCCCAGCTCACATGTGGCCTGCCTCCACTCTCTCTCACCCCAAGGAACCTCATATTCCATTTCCCAATCAACAGGGTTCCTGCAGGCCTTAGGCCTTCTTCAGAGATGGGCCTATGCAATCTCCATGTAGGAAGTCCAGTCAATAAATCAGCTGCTTTGTGAAGATCTACAGAAAAGGCAAGTGGCATGAGCTTTGATGGGAAATGAGGAGGGTGTGGAACCCAACAAGGCAGCATTGAGGAAAGATAGCAAAGAGGCTGCTGCAATGGAACCACTGTTTATTGTAAGGGCAGACGGATTGCCAACAGTCGGAATTTTATTCACGTGAACCCAGAAGTGCTGCACCAGCTATGTCAGGCAAGGATGATGAGTCCCATCATTCAGCGCTGTCAACATAACTATCTCTGAACATATGGTTGTAAGGGAACTGTTTTCACAAAAGAATTTCCACATTCAGAGCAATGCTACGGATGCTCCTTGTGGATTCTTTTATGTGAAGTAAGATTACAACTTGTACTGAAGTTCTTCCCACACTCTATGCATGAATATGGTTTTTCTCCAGTATGAATTCTTTTATGAGAAGTAAGGGAGCTATTCATACTGAACCTCTTTCCACACTCTGTGCATTGAAAGGGTTTCTCCCCTGTATGGGTTCTTTTATGAGACGTAAGGGAACTGTTCGCACTAAAGCACTTTCCACACTCCAAGCATTTAAAGGGTTTCTCTCCTGTGTGGGTCCTCTTATGGGAAGAAAGGTCACTGCTTGTGCCGAAGTTCTTCCCACACATTATACATTTATAGGGTTTCTCTCCGGTGTGGATCCTCTTATGAGAAGTAAGAGAACTGTTCATATTGAAGATTTTCCCACAGTCCTTGCATTTATAAGGTTTTTCCCCTGTATGCATCATTTTATGGGAAGTAAGTTGATTCCTCCACATGAAGTCCTTTCTACACACCATGCATACATATTTTTTCTCTCCAGTATGGATCCTCTTATGACAAGTAAGGGAACTATTCATGCTGAAGCTCTTTCCACATTCTATACATTGAAAGGGTTTCTCTCCTGTGTGAACCCGATTATGAGAACTAAGGTCACTGTTTGTGTTGAAGTTTTTCCCACAATCTATACACTGATAAGGTTTCTCTCCGGTATGGACCCTTTTGTGAGAAATAAGCGAACTGTTCATACTGAAGCTTTTTCCACACTCTATGCACTTATAAGGTTTTTCCCCTGTATGCATCCTTTTATGGGAAGTAAGTTGATTCCTCCACCTGAAGTTTTTTCCACACATCATGCATGCATATTTTTTCTCCCCTGTATGGATCCTATTATGGGAAGTAAGTGAATCACTATGACTGAAGCTCTTTCCACACTCTATGCATTCGTATGGTTTCTCCACTGTGTGGACCCTTTTGTGGGAAGTTAAGTGAGTTTTCAACCTGAAACTCTTCCCACACTCTGTACATTGATATAGTTTTTCTCCTGTGTGAATACTAATGTGATTAGCAAGGGAGCTGCTTGAAATAAAACTCTTCCCACATTCCCTGCATATATATGGCTTCAACCCCGAGTGGATCCTTGTATGGGAGGTTAAGTGACTACTGTTGCTAAAGCTCTTTCCACAATCCTTACATTTATAGGGTTTCTCTCCTGTATGAACCCTTTTATGTGAAGCAAGGGACCCGCTGTGACTGAAGCTCTTTCCACATTCTAGGCATTTATATGGTTTTTCTCCTGTATGGATCCTTTTATGAAAAGTAAATGAACTCTTCATACTGAAGCTTTTTCCACAGTCCTTGCATTTATAGGGTTTTTCCCCTGAATGGATCCTTTTATGGGTAGTCAAGTGATTGCTATTTCTAAAGTTCTTTCCACAGTCTGTGCATTTATACGGTTTCTCTCCTGTGTGGACCCGTTTATGGGAAGTAAGAGAACCACTGTGACTGAAACTTTTCCCACATTCTAGACAATTATAGGGTTTCTCTCCTGTATGGATCCTTTTATGCAGAGTAAAGGAACTGTTCGTAGTAAAGCTTTTTCCACAGTCCTTGCATTCATATGGTTTTTCCCCTGAATGCATCCTTTTATGGGAAGTAAGAGAACTACTATGACTGAAGCTTTTTCCACAATCTGCGCATTTGTAAGGCTTCTCTCCTGTATGCACTCTATTATGGGAAGAAAGCTCACTACTTGTGCTAAAGCACTTCTCACACTCTACGCATTTAAAGGGTTTCTCTCCTGTGTGGACCCTTTTATGGGAAGTAAGCTCACTGCTTGTGGTGAAATTCTTCCCACACTCTTCACATTTATAGGGCTTCTCTCCCATATGGATCCTTTTATGAAAAATAAGGGAACTGTTCATACGGAAGCTTTTTTCACATTCTAGGCATTTAAAGGGTTTTTCTCCAGAATGGATCCTTTTATGGGCATTTAGATTACTTCTCCACCTAAAGCTTTTTCCACAGTCCATGCATTTGTAAGACTTTTCTCTTGCATGGACCATTTTATCAGAAATAATAGTACTATTATCGATGAGGCTCTTTACAGTTTTGTAGTTGTTACTGAAACTGAGTTTTGCTTGAGCTATTTCCCCACTTCCATGACATTTTTCTGTACTGATTTCTTTGCAATCACATTGGGTCAGGAAGAGATCTTTTTTGGCACATTCAAAACTCGCCTTTTCTCGCCAATTACTCTCCAAATAGGATTGTTTTTTCTCATATCTCTTCCTTTCCCACTTCTTTGCAGATAACTCTTCTAGTATTTTAATTTTCATTATTTGTGATGTCAACATACTTGGCTCTTGGTCATTTTCATTTTTCGGCTCATCATCTGCTTGAGGGGGAGAAAAAGACATCAAAAATATATATAACACACCATTTGCTGTCCCCATGACACGTCCTATATCTGTTCCTGGGCATCTGCAGGGGAAGCACAAGGGAAATGACTCCCTGAATATTTCTTAATTTAAAAGACTAGTGTGGTTGCTCACCTTGTATCATTCTGGGCGCTTAACAATTTTTTTAAAAAAAGAACACAAAATAAAAATAAACAATACAATTTTCTGTTGCCCTGGTCTTCGTGATATTGCATCTACAATTATTTGAGCAATGTATGTGATTCACTTACGTTGCTTCTAATGCCACAACATAGATATAATCTCAATATCATTGCAAGAGAAAACATAGTGCTGATTGGGACAACTGAAATAAGCAAAAACATCCCCTCCCTGATTATCTTCCCAGCACTTCTGCAGTATTGACACAGGGCCCAAAGACGATTCCAAGACTACATGTCCAGACTGACTGGTCACCACTGATCCCTTTCTTCTAACTGAAATTGTGGTACTTAGAATTTTGCAGAGGTGAACTGCAATTAATACAAAAGAGAAAAGAGATGAAATAATTTTAATAAGATCTGCACAGATCTCCTAAAATGTATATAAACTACCTAGTGACTCCTCGCTCTAATTTCCCCCCAGAGCCCTTACCTAAAAAGGCCATGATCTTACACGTCTCCAACATGACTTCTTGGTGCAAGGCTTTCTGGTTGAGATCCAGCAGTGACCACTCTTCACTGGTGCAATGAATGGCCACCTCCTCAAAGGATACAGGATCCTGAAGGAGGAAGAATTCCTGTGAAGAGACTCAATTTGCAAGATCTCATTTAATCTGCAAATCCAGAAAACACACAGTTATAATTCTTAAATAGATATTTCCCCAGCTGGACTCAACATGGGTAATTTTTAGCTGGGTTTTAAAATAACTTTTAATAACAAAGGCCAAATTAATATTTCCTTTTAATTATATTTTTAATGATAGTATTTTTGTATCTTTGTATTTGTTTTATTAGGCTGTTAGCCGCCCTGAGTCCGCAAGGAGAAGGGCGGGGTAAAAATACAATAAATAATAATAATAAATAATAATGTTATATGATAAAACTACCTATCTCCTGATCTCAAGGATCAGGGGATCATTTTCTCCCTCTAGGCCATATAATATGGTAGACTCTCCCTGAAGATGATCAAAGCTGTTATATGTGTATTAACTGTATTCCTGATTTCATGTTATTAACCATTGTAAATTGGACCTCAGCTAGTGGCAAGTTCAGGTTCCCACAGTTGATCTTCCCAGGTTCAGTCCTGGTTAGTCACAGGATGAGGGACCACTTAATACCCTTAAACTGAAAAATTTGGGAAGAGGCCAATGTAAAATCACTTCTATATTATAACCAAACACTAGCATAGATTCAGTTCTTTAAAAGCCAAGCTGGAGTCATGAGTATCTTCAGTGTTCATTTTTGTAAACCTCCTTAATGTCTTCATATCTTCATTTTTGTAAACCTCCTTAATGCCCAGAAGAGAAAAATCTGATGTTGAAAAGAAGGAACAGCTCTCACTGTAGATCTTTTATTCCACTGCAATTCTGCAAATTAAGTTGGCAGCATTTTATTGACCTTCCAAAAATGATCAAAGGTGGCATTGTTCCAGAGGAGATTGTCATTATGTCTGTTAGGTTTTTTTTTTTTCATTTTTACGTTTTATAGTATGAACTGCCAGGTGGCATTCGAGCCCAGCAGGATATAATCACCAAAGAATTCAATACATTTCCAAAACAATCTTGGGAGGCAGGTGGAATGTGAATGATCACTAATTTGAATTTTAATTTCCCTATCCTGAGTTGTTCATGAACAGCAGTATCATATGTTGAGACCCGAAATGAAACTGGATGTCTCCTACTGCTCCCCCAAAATAGCCCCTGATCTTTCCCTTCCTACCTGAGCTAAAGGTGCAGCTGCTCTTTCAGTTCCACGAGTACCAGGAGACGATTGAATGAATAATAGTGACTCCATTTTGTTCCCTGGAAAGGAGAGAGATGGAATGGAAGCTGGAAGGGGATTAACTCCATTTTTTCTAGCTTAAAGGCTTCCTGTCCTGCAGAAGAAACCTTTATCCTAGCCTCCACCTTCAGTTGCCTTTAACAGGCTCCATCTTGAGAGCCCAGAATAAAAGGAGAAGAAAAGACCACATCCACAGCATGCACTGGGAAACAAACCCAATTGGACATCTCTCCTAAGCTTTTGGTCACCAACAAGACAAAAAAGTATACTTTTGGTAATCAAGGCATTCACTCAACCGTGGTAGATGCTCCCCCAACCCCTGCAGGCTGAAACAATCCTGTTCTATGTGAATGATGAAATTGTGGCCCCCTAGGAACACGCCTGCAAGGACAGATGTTGTTGGAGATGGTCCAACAGAGATATGTATCAGAATTTACTTGAAATTATCTATCAAGGAAGGCTGAAAACAGGTTGCTTCTGTCTGCATCACTGAGAACAAACAGAAGTATCTCAGGATGATGTAGGCAGAATGCAATCCAGGACCAACCCCCCAAAAGAGTCAGTTTTTGTCAAGCAGAGATCATCAAAAGATAGCATGTGGAATGAAGTGAGGGAAATCCTTTGATGGACTTAAGCCCTCAAGTTTCTTTCTTGCTGGGTCGCCTTCTAGTAAGTCCGACGACTAGACACAAGAGGATAGAGAGAATTAAGAAAAATTGGAATATCTCTAGAAAGCCTCCAAGCTATGTAGAATGGCCTTCCCTTACCAAGTGAGGCATCCTGAGATTGACTTTCCTGCTTGGAGATCACTCTGCCACATGGCTCTTGAGAGGGTCCTGTGCTTCTGTCTGGACAATTAGTGCCCACTTCCAGGAAGGACCTCAGAACCTGAAATATAAGCAAAGAAACGGAGTTAAGAACAAGAACCGGGATTTCAAATTTCTGCCCACAATATTGCTAGACCTTTGTGTCCATAATTTGGACTGGAAGAGGACGATGGAAGAATTGCTCCAAATATGGTGTTTGGACAAACACAGGAGCAATGTTGCTAATAAGGTTCTATAACCATCTCATTGCATTATTCATCTCCAAAATTCTTAGTAAGACAATTAAGATTTCAATTGCAGGTAGTCCTCGACTTACGACCATAACTGAGCCAAAATTTATGTTGCTGAGAAATGTGTTGAGTTTTACCCCAGTTTACAACTTTTCTCACCACACAGGTGAATCACTGCAGTGCTTAAATTAGTAACATGGTTGTTAAGTGAATCCGGTTTCCCCATTTGACTTTGCTTGTCAGAAGGTTGCAAAAGGAGATCACAGGACTCCGGGACACTGCAACCATCATAAATGTGAGTCAGTTGTCAAGCATCCGAATGTAAATCATGTGACCGAGGGGATGCTGCGACAGTCATAAATGTGAAAAATGGTCATCAGTCACTTTTTTTACTGCTATTGTAATTTGGAACAGTCAGTAAATGAACTGTTGTAACTCAAGGACTACCTATACTTTAAGATCCCTCCATATTTCCTAAGAGGAGTGTCTCTCACCTGGCACCCTCCCTGTTCCTCCTCCTCTGCCAGGCTCAGCAGAAAGCCTTCAGCTAGGGCCACCGCCTGGCAAGTGGTCTCCACTCGGCATTCCCGCATCCAGTGCTGCATCTCTCTGGGCAGGACAGCTAGAAACCGTTGCAAAATCACTCGGTCCAATATCTGAGCCTTGGTGTGCTTCTCGGGCTGCAACCACCCCCAGCAAAGGCAGTGAAGGTGGCTGCAAAGGTCTCGTGGTCCTGCAGCCTCTTGAAAGAAGCTGTTCCTGAAGCGCCAATGCTGGATTTCAGAACTGAGGGCTTCCTGATCCTCCTCCAGGATCTTCTTCCTGGCTCCTGCCCAGACCTCCCCACAGCTCCCAAGTTGAGCAGCAGCGGGACCTTTTCCCACTTTCTTCCAGGCTGGCTGGTCTCCATCCATTTCCAGTCTCTTCTCTTACAGAGAACCAGAAGGATTCTGCTCTCGAGTGGCATCCAGCTTTTACATGAGATGGAAAAGTAATCAATCACAGTATGTTTTCCTTCAAAAACTGTGACATTTTAATCAAAATCAGGCTTGGTGAAAAGACACACCCCGTCAAAGACCAGCCCTCATTATGGGGAGGGTCTTCTGCAGAGGCACAGTTCAACTCTGGCAGCAGAAAAACTCTTGGGTGTCTTGTCTATGGAGATTCTCAGTCCTCCAGATCATGGTTTTCCCAAAGGTGCTTTTTCAAGAGGCAACTGGACTTTCTTGTTTGTTCTTTGAAGACCTTTCACTTCTCATCCAAGAAGTGGATGGTGGCTCTGACTGGATAGTGGCGAAATGGAAGTATTTATACTCCTTGCAGACAGCTGGTCATTTGCATTCTTTTAGAGAGTCCTTGAGGCCATCTGGAGGTGTCTTGGTTGTCTTTCCAACATGCCCAGCAAAAAAACTTGAAATGGGATCGTTTGCAGGGAATGGAAGAGCCATAGGCAGGAAAGCCCCTTC